TTCCCCTTTCCGTCTTCGTGGTGTCTGAATTATAGTTTCGGTCAATCAAGCCGGGATTCAATACGACGTCTGCTGCATCTCACATCGACTTTGGAGCGACTATTATTCTCCAGAAATACGGTGCGGGAGAGGATTAATAAATCACAGAGGCTGAAGGGATTTACGTGCCTTGTTCGTTTATTAGAGGTCCGCGAATGACTCAGAGGGAGCTTGTCATCACGTGGCCTAGTTCTTGACGTAAAGTTCAGGGCTCTTGTCTCCTGAAACGTGAGCTGGATTATTATTTAATATTAGCGGGAGAATTTGAGCTGTGCCCATTCGACTTTACTATTCGACGTTCGCGATTGTTCTGCTATTTACTGCTATATGAAGCGTGGCAGAGCAGTTCGACTTCCCTGCAATTTTGACGGACAGAGGACTCTGTGCTCCTCCCCCTCCCTCCCCCCAACCTCCCATGTGTCTCTTTTACATTATAATGACGCTGTGTAAGACAACTACTCAATCGTCTAAGACGACTAGTTTTCTCCTCGGCCATGGGTGATCATATTACACAATATCGCCAGTATAATGCAAAAAAATGACAGAAGAACGACATCTAAATCTAATATTATGTAACATCACGTTCCTTTCAACAGTTGGTGGTAGTCTAAAAATGGTGAAATAGTGTGGGTTTAACGCCCCTATCAACACTATTAGGTTATTTAAGGGGCGGGAACCTCCTAGTTTAACGTCCGTCTCCGATAGGACCGAGCCAAGTGGGAAGTTCGTGTAAAGTGTTTTTCCCAGGAATATAACGTCGGACCGAGCTGAGGCTCGAACCCCCGAAGCCGCAATCTCACAACTGCGAGTCCTAACCACTAGGCTACCGACACCAGGAAGTGGAGTGACAAGGGGCCACCTTACATGTCACATTCCGGTAGTCTCAGACATCATCAACAGTGAAACAATACGTCCAACTGGAATCAGGCACTAGTCAAACATTTAATCTTGGTCATAACATGAAGCTATTGGTAATATCTTAAATCCTGTTTATTTGCTCTGATTTTGATGAAAAGAAAACCCATCAATCTTGAATAAAAGTCGAGATTTGGGAGTGAATACTTGGAGTCAGAGGTAAAATTAGCGAGAAAATGGCATCCAAAATTTGGTGACTTCCATAGCTTGAGAGTCCTTGAAAAGTGAACATTTTACTGTGTTATACCTTTAATCAACGTTTTTCTTTGAAATCAACACAGAAATGTGTTTTTACATGGACGATGGAGATATTGAGCTAAAAAAAAATTCATTAAAAAATAGCCAGACCTTCTGAAAAAATGCCAGATTCCTCGATTTGAGTATTTTGACAAGTGCCTGACTTCATCATGATGCCTCACATAGAGATAAGAGACAGAAGAACGACATCTAAGTCTTATGGTACTCAAGTTTCTCGTCGACAATGGGTGATTGTCTCCGACAATATCAATAGTATAACTATTGTGAGGCAGCATGTTGGAATCAGGCTCTCGTCAAAATTATCGAAGTGGAGAAACTTGCATTTTTTCCCACACGTTTGTGAATTTTTATCAAATTTTTGTTTTTTGGCTCAACACCTTTCATGCCCTTCACAGAACTCATTTCTTTGTGGATTTTTCTGAAAAACGTTGATTAAAGGCACAACAAATGTAAATAATCAGTACCAAGGATTCTCAGGCTAAAGAAATAACTAATCTTTGGCGGACATTTTCTCACTAATTTTACTTCTGAAAACAGGTGACCCCCATCTCCTTCTTTTGCAAATATCTCGACTTGTATTCAATACAAATGGATATTTGTTTTCATCGAAATAAAGATAAGTGAACAAGCTTTATGATGACATCAATACCTCTACATGCCCAAAAATTGACGAGAGCCTGATTCCACCACGCTGCTTCACAATTATAGATAAGAGACAGAAGAACGACAGCTTAGTCCTAGGGTACTCACGTTTCTCGTCGACAATGGGTGATTGTCTCCGACAATATCAACAGTATAACAATTAAAGATAAGAGAGAAAAGAACGAAAGCTTAGTCCTAGGGTACTCACGTTTCTCCTCGATCCACTTGCCGTTAGGACCCATCTTCTTCTCTATCTCCACCCGGCACAGCCTCCACAGACCCGTGTACGCCTCCACCAGATACTTCCCGGACGCGTTCCTGAAGATACCATCCGGGGCGTCCAGAATCAGCCAGCTGTCTGTGGAGATGGCGATGATCTGAAGCACAAATCCAAGCATGGTGGTCGCTGTCGCGATGAGAAGTAGGCGTGGCTCCAGCCAGCTGGCAGCTCGACTCCGATAGGTCCGCTGCCTTTGAGGGCGTGCCCTCTCTCTCGGGTTCCGCCTCGAGCCTTTTTTGGAGGAGGAGCGAGACGATTGGCGGGAGGCGGGGCTGTGGGAGGAGCTTTGAGGGTGGGCGGAGGAGGACCCGTGCTGGCTATGTTGGCTCCCCTGGCGCGGGTCGCTGCGTGTGGACGGCATGGTTGTGGGCGTCCGGTGGAAGAAATCCCTTACTGGGTGACCGAAGAAACTAACTGAAGAAACGGACTGAAGAAGTTGACAGAAGAACCACACTGATGGAACTGACTGAACCAAGGTGAAATCTAAAAAATACACCTTGTTCTTTTCAACTCCGTCTTTTTCAAATATCAGTACAATAAAAGGTGTGGGTTTTTTTTACTGGAATGAAAATATAAAAAGTAATTAATTTATCGTAAGTAAAGCACGTACACAATCAGAATTACAATATAATATTATTTTGATAAAACACCTCCCGTGAAAAGCAATTATGCGGAACTTGTTCCCTGCAAAATGATTAATCTTTCCCGGGTTGTTGTTTTTTTTTTGTCGTTGTCCTGTTTAGTATTCTTCTCTCGTCACTCACAATTTTGGGGTGGTTTTTTAAATTTTCTTTTACAGCAGATGATTCACTTTGACAGAATCAAAAGCCGGCCCCGTCAGAACGAGTTCAGAAAGATCAGGGAACAGGGGCGATAAATCTCGGGGGCTATAATGAGCTCCTGTCTCGTACAGTTATGCCGAGTGACGGTAGATAATCCAATGAGTGATCACCGCGGGTCACGTGACTAAAGCTTCCCTGGCTCAATCCTCGCCGACTCAGACAACACACAGACGAACACATCCACGCACACACTGGTGGCGTTTTGGTTTTCTCATATTTGCTTCAAAGGTAGCTCTTCACGGGGCAGGGAACCGAGACAAGTTATCCAATTACGATCACAGTCTGTTGTAATCAGACAGAAGATGGATCAGGAATGTTCTAGAACAGGAGAATTCAGACAAGAACAACTATGTCTCCCCTCATGAGATGTCAGCATTTCTGTACTTCGCTAGGAAGGTTGGTGTCTCTGTACGTGCACTTCGCTAGGAAGGTTGGGGTCTCTGTACGTGCAACAGATCAGCTGATAGTCACATTGTCAGTTCCGGAGACCTCTCGTCAAGCGAAACCTGTTGGGGAAGAAGAATAAAAACCGGATATTTTAGAAAAAAATCATCGTCAGTTTTACGGGTAAAGTATTATGACTTGTAACCGTACAAGGAAAGAGAAAGAGAGGAAGGCAGAGAAGGAGATGGGAGGACAACATTACAGAGTGGACAGGAAAGACGATGGGTGACCGT